CTGCAGCTTCATCGACTGCAGCTTCATCGACTGCAGCTTCATCGACTGCAGCTTCATCGACTGCAGCTTCATCGACTAGAGCTTTATCGACTGCAGCTTCATCGACTGCAGCTTCATCGACTGCAGCTTCATCGACTGCAGCTTCATCGACTGCAGCTTCATCGACTAGAGCTTTATCGACTGCAGCTTTATCGAATACAACAGTTGGATTGACTGGAGCTTTATCAAATACAACAGTTGGATCGACTAGAGCTTTATCAAATACAACAGTTGGATCAACTGGAATTTCATCTATGGTAGCAAGGCAGACATTTATGCCGATGCTATTGTGGAGTATAGTCTTGAGTATTGGATATCGAGCAAGTATTTATACTATTGATATTGGTTGGTGGTAAAGTATTGATATTATAGAAGGAATGGTATTGGTATTGATTTATTGGTTTTGATTTATGTTCAACTACTTCGTTCTACATTTATACATTGATACTAATATTCGATAGACCATTACGTTAGCAATGTCTGAACTCCAGAATTATCTGGCAGGATTCACCCAGAATATTGTTCCAAAACTCATGTTCTTGTTTCAGAAACAACTCGCTGTGCTCTATCCAGTGGTATAAAACTTCCTACCACATGAACTGTATTTCCAGAAATTAAAGTATACTGATATCTTGCTATAAAATTTAATTATACATGTCAATTCATCAGTGCGATATTCACGCAGGAGGTCGTTACAGTGTCTCTTTTGTGGAGCTCTCATACACTTTCGAAGAAAATAGTGAATGTAAATTTTAAAGCGAAGTCTTGCGCTTCCCGTCTTCCGATTACAGCCATTAGCTACTCCGCCTTCCATACGCAATTAGTTCTCTTTAAAATGCAAACATAAAACAACTATAGTCTACGAGTTTTCATTTGCGTATTTTGTGTTAGTTTAATGAGGCTAAATCAGTTATGTGAGTTCTACGTTTTGGTTACAAAAGTGCTGTGCTTAGAACATTTTGTTCTTGCTGCAAACATCATTCTTTATTATATACTTAATATCTGAGCCTGTTTCTTTGTGGTAATTATTAGGGCCGTCTCTTTTGATCTGTGACTACTTGGATACTTGAGAATAAGGTATAGATAAGGAATAAAGCGAATTAACAGTAAAAGTTAAACACAAATCATATGAGAAAAAATTATGAATAAATTTTTTGTAAAACTCTTCATTTAGATTATGATGAAAAAAAGCTTGTTAGCGCAGCCCCTTTGGGGCTGAAATGTAGCACTGACATATCTTCTTTGGTTTCATTATACTAACCACAAAATACCCAATATTTAAAATCTGCAAACGATAATAGTTCTTTTCTAAAGATAATCGATTATCAGAAAATACTGTCTTTTGTATCTCTATATTTCGAACAGAAATTTTTTCTTTTATTGACAAAGTTGCTATGGTCTGTAATGGGGACCTTTCTGCAATGGGAGATATGTCTATAATGTTCTCTTCCATTGCTATGGGTGTGTGGATGTGGGTGTGGGTGTGGGTGTAGGTGTGGGTGTGGGTGTAGGTGTGGGTGTGGGTGTAGGTGTGGGTGTAGGTGTGGGTGTGGGTGTTAATATCTCTTCACGAATACCCACCCACAACCACACCCACACCAACACCCACACCCACACCCACACCCACACCCACACCCACACCCACACCCACCCACATCCACACCCTTTACAACCTTCGACGCCAGAATATATATCTGAATTTTTCTGACCAGACTGATAATCTGGGAGCAAGAGAAATTGCAGTTGATCAAATGGACGAAGAACGTGATGTCTCCACTATTCGACTAATGAAGTGGTGTGTTTTTCCAAAGAACGCTGTGGGTGGGAGTATACATGAACCAATAGAAAACAGATCGACCTATATCCCTGTATGATACAAATCAATATACTGATCTCAACTCTCGCTTTTCAGCAACCGGCTAAGTCGAAATAATTTCAAAATATTGTTGATTTGCTAAAAAATAAATTAATTAATTAATAAAGAAATGCAGAGATATAATTTGCCGACGCGTTTTATGTTATTTATCGTAATAATAAACACTCATCAGGGCTTTGCATTCACAATTTGCAAGCATAGGCAAAAATTGAATCAAAGATAAAAGAAAAAAGCAAATAAGTTTGACAATTGGAAGGGAAAAATAACTGTTTGTTGAAGAATAAGGCAGCAGCTAACTTGTCAGTGTATAGTTACAACCGATCGTATACGCTTGCTTGAAGTGATGCTTCGTAATTTCGAAACAACATCTTGTAGGAATCGTTATTTATCCATTATTTATATAAAGATATTAAAAGTGGTGGTTGATTTCGATCGCCTTCCATTTGATGTGGATTATATTTTAATAGAAGCGAAATGGAATTAATTACTTTGATTATAACGATAATTATATTGTAAGTATGAAGCTGATTAGCAGATCATAAAGTACAAGTAACGCTCGTCGCTTCGACTCGCTTGACTCTCGACTGAATGGTTAAGTTTGTTTATTGGTGATTTTATCGTGTTGAGATTATTGTCGACAATATGAAATGTGTTCAAGTATATCTGTTATAACATTTATCATGGTGTATAATGGTATAACCAGTTTAGAATCATGGCGATTTTTACACATGAAATCGGTATTCTTATCGACAACTTTTTAATCAATGGTCAATAATATGAGGAAAGATTAATCTTTCAATGAAATTCGAAAAAAAAACTTTGAATAAAATAGAGAATGTCACTGTCTCTTTTGATGCATGAAAACAGATAAAATATAATATCGTATGTGAAGGAAGGAATATCATTCTCGAGTTCTAGGAATTAAGTGAATTCAGACATAAAATTTTTATAAAAGACAAAACATCAATGTCTATGCGTACGACTTTAAGCAGATAAAAAAAATAGAGGAACATATAAAAAAAACTAGCTCTATCCTAATCGGATACTGAATTGAATTAAACATATTTATACAAGAGAGAATATGATTCTATATGTTTATGACTTCAGTTTGTCTTAATAAAACATCATCTCAAAATAAAAGTATATCAATTTCGACACACGGAAGAATGTACAATTACATAAAATAAATATGTGTAAAAGGAAGAATATTAATCTTGATCCTTATGAAGGTACTGAAATAAAATCAAACAAGTATATGCAGAAGAAATTATATCTATACGTATTGTCGCTAACCAAAGGAGATAATATGAAAAAATATCAGATTTAGAAGAAACAATATAAACAGGGTTGCCAGATCAAAATCTTACAAATCGGAATTCATTTGCCTGAATTCAGAAAATTTCGGGAAAAATATCTGGCTAAATAGGAAAAAAATTCGGAAAGTAGTAGCTTTTAAGCTTTTTGACGCTTAAGTTGATTTTTTTCGGTAAAAAAGACTTTCTGAGTTTGGTTATCCTCTGTGTAGATATAAATATTAAAACAAATATATTAAATATACCACTATTAGAAAAGATCGTTTTCAAGAAGAGGCAGTTAATACATGAAAAAAACTCAAAATAAACTATTTATACATGTATGTATACCTACAGTTCAAAATATTTATTGAAAAAGAAACTAAAGTTCATTTATCAAGATGTTTTTTGCGAAAAAATTTTTCATTTCAAGCTATTTTTTTCAATAGTCCTTCTTGAGCTATAAGAAAGTCATGAACTTGTGCACAAGGAATATCGGAATTCTTTTTGATTTATAGCTCACATTCGATCAAATCGATATCCATTTAATTTCGATAATCAGATCATAAGTGAGTCATGTGACTCAATATTGATTCAACAAAAGAACTGCTGCATGAAATAGAAGGGTGTGGGTGTGGGTGTGGGGTTGGTGTTGGTTTCTTCCCAACGCACACCCATACTCCAGAGCCACAGCCATACCCCACACCCACACTCACACCCTTGTGATAAGACGGTCAGCGTCACATAGAGAATCGGTCATAATAAATAAATAAAGCGTTGAAAAGGTAGTCAGATAAACAAAAGATCGTGAAAAGTGAGGAATATATGAATTGCTTAAAATTGCTTATCTAACAGTGAGTCAAAAGTATTGGAACAAAATATTTATTCAGTGTCGAATTAAGATTATTTCACAGTTAAGAACAATCTAATGTCGGATTTTTTTTAAAGTACTAACGGCCATTTTTTGAATAACTTTTGATCACTTTGAGTTATCGAGCTGCGGTTTTCACCATTCAAAAGAGCCAGCTGGGGGCTACAAAATCCTTCTGATTTTGAATGGTCAAGCAATTGACTAACCAGGAGAACTTTTGCTGAACATTTTGTGAGCTGCCTCATGCTACTAATTTTCGTTCAATTTGAACTTTCAATGATACCAATCGATAGAGAAAATTGTTCTCTTTCGAGCTAGGCAAGGCTGAGCTCACCATGTCGGTTTGTTCTGGAGTTATAAGCATTTTCCCAAAAGCTCCGAAATTACCCAAATGATTCTCCATCACGCTAAAATGGTTCTATATAGGGGTAACTTGCCATGCTGAGTCGAGTGATGATATTTGTTTTCAGTTTCATAGATGCCTGAAGTTACCATATCAATATTCTCGAAAAATGCTCTTTACATGCTACACATCAGTAAATTGCTGAAATTTCGAGAATGTTGATATGGTAACTTCAGGCATCTATGAAACTGAAAACAAATATCACCATTCGACTCAGCATGGC